GAAAGATTGGAACAAAATTTTATAGCCATCGAGATTTCTCTATTTTTTTATCGACATGGAAGAAACAAACAGGATTGCTCCACATTAGGGGGAAGTGATGCAAAAAACACAAATGCTTCCAGTTTTCATCACCATGGACAGAAAGGTTAGATGATGCTCTAAACCAAAGATTTTAATTCAATTATTTCATTCTGTGACCCCAAAAAATGTATAATACAACAAACAGGCAACCCCTAAAAAATACATATATAATTACCTCCATATTTATTTATACATATAGTGAGGTAATTCTATTCATAGAAACATCAGATGTTCGAACACTTGCATTTCCGAATTCTCCTGAGTGGTGCCCGACTTTACACCAGTGAATAAAGTGAATGTCAGTGTTTGATTATCAAGGGGGAGAGATTGTTGTGGCGGAAATTTGGTAAGCTGTTTTGTTTGTGACCAGTTTCTCTGAAGCATCTTGCTAACCAGTTAGCAATTAGTGCTAGTAGGTTCCCAATTGGAAATTCCATTGGGACCAAGTAGCACTAAATTGGTGAATTAGCAACGCTGCCAGTTCTGTTAGCTCTACGCCTGCTGAAGACACAGACGTCCATCCCCGTGAACACTGGGACGGAACTCAATGGGAAAGGAAATTATTCTGATTTCTGATTTCAACCATTGCGTATATTAGCCGCGACATATGAATCAAGATGCTATGACCGAAAAAATGTGATTGACAGATGACCACTGATATATGATTGGCCAGATTTAGGTGTTCAGGCTGACGTATAACTAACTGGCCTGCAGAAGATAATGAAAAAACACAGATTTAATTTTTTTTTTTTTAAATAGAAATTTTCTAACTTTTGGGACAATATAGTCTGATAAAGAGTACATTTATGTTTAAGCCAGAAATACTTGACATTTTAATATGACTTCCCTACGACTTTAAACCTGTGCAGCAGGTGGATCTGAAGCTTTCTGCCTTTCTGTGTCATTAACCCCCATTCTTGCATCTATCTGCTGTGGACTGTTTATATTGCAGCCTAACAGTCTTGGTTGCTTTAAAGGCTCTCAACAGAAACTATAACTAATGTGTGCATCCTATTCCAAATAGGAATAATGATCACCTGAAACTTACAAACGTTTTGTCTGGATGTGATCAACTTTTCTACTGAATTAATTTTAAAACAGGGAGAGATGTTTAGCTTTCTGATTCCATATTTATTACATTCATAAACCTTCAGTGGACTTTAGTTCTAATTAACATCTATTAACGTTTTATTAAAAGCAAAGAGTTATGAAACTAAAGGGAATACCTTTAGGTATACATGTTAAAGTTAGTAACCGTGGAAAACACCTGGATTTTCAGAATAAAATTAACCACTGTCTGATATTTCACCAATAACTCTTTAATCATAATAAACCAGCTGCTGGTTCTGGATACCTGGCTCTGGATCTCTGAAGCTCTTTTGGCTCTCTGTATCTCCAGGACGTCTGTGCTCAGCTCCATTCCTTTACCCCTGATTTCGGTCTCCAGGTCCCGGCGGTATTCCTTCTGCAGAACCAAAGGCGACACCTCTGGAGTGAAATACAAATCTACTTTTATTTGTAAACGCAACTTTATTTCTACATTTGCTCTGACCTGGTTTAGAATCTGATTGGCTTTCTTAACCCTGAGAAGCTCTGGCGTTTCCTCCAGACCGAGACCAGATAAGCCCCGCCCCTTCACTTCCTGCTCCAGGTCCTTCCTGTACACCTTCTGCAAAGAGACCAAAAGGGCTGATTAGTAAGTTCAGGATGATTAAAAAGAGAAGAAATAAACAGAACTCATTTGAGATTTCATTGTAAGAAATGATTTAATTTTTATTTTTTCTGACTTCTTAGCAGTTTGCTTTCAGTTTATTGACATAAAGATGCTGAAAACATTGATATAAAACATAGATGTTATGTTCATTCTAGTAACCGTTTTGAAGTTGGATTCTAAGAGGTGTGGAGTAAAAAATGTTGAGGTATGTCTAATCTTAGCCTCACAGGCATCAAATGAAGGTCATGTGAGATAAGAACGAGTTACAAAGCTTCCTTCATGGCATGAAGGGGACGACTGTTGTTTTGAAAAGATCCAGAAATATTAACCTAACAGGGAATGGCATTGAACTTTCTTCAAAGGTTTGTGTGAGAAAGTTCTTTATGCAGAGGGTGGGATAGTTCCCCTGGGGGGAGTGTGTGTGTGTGATTTGGTAAGGTATAAATGTATGTACTGAAATGCCTCAGTCAGAGCCCTATCTCTCTGTCTGAGGACGTTATAAATTTGAACATTATTTCTTGCAAGAAATGCCTCGGTATCAGCTTCCTAACTTCACAGACATCTTCAATCTTTAAGTACCTCACTCAGCAGACTGCTGGCGTTTCGGGCAGTCAGGTATCCTGGAGTCTGATCCACATCCAGCAAAGCTCTACCTTTCACCTGCTCCTCGAAGTCCCTACGGTATTCCCTCTGAGAGACACAAACATATAAGGTTCATTTTATCTCTGCTCAATGGTTCACCTGATATTTCTCTACAAACTATTACACACATGTCAAATTGGCTGCAATCTGCTATATATATTTTAAACAAAATGCACATTTCATGCAGATACCTTCTTTGTTTTAACACCTGTGGATATAATTTAAACAGTTTATAACAGATCATTATAAAGATAGATGGGAACAAGATATCCATTTGTTTTATATCAGGGAAACATATCATATATGGGTGAAGGAAATGGCGTCGTTTATGGTTCTAGAGCGACTAATTTATATTGTGAGAGGAAAGGGAATAGTTATGGTCACCATTGGCCAAATTTCTTAAAGACTATGAAGGAAATTGGAAGAATGATGCAAATTGTTTGCGGATTGTTTTTTTTTTCTTTTTATTTCTCTGTCTATTTCATACTTGTGTTTGTTAATTTTGCTCCTGTTCATGCATATCTATCAACATTAAGTGCTATGTTTCCTGCCAAGCTCTGAGCGCCAAAGACAAAGTAAATGTATCAATAAATTTCTCCCAATTGTCTTTTCTCTTTTTTGTGAATTTTTCCAGATTATCGATGGGTCTTTTTCTGTAATTCAGCATAATGTAAAAGAGAGTACTCAGCCCACGTTATTAGAGAAAGATCATCTTTATACAAGAGAAAACTGCTGGTTATATATATATATATATACTTTATACAAGAGAAAACTGCTGGTTATATATATATATATATATATATATATATATATATA